CTAATTTATCTCTCTATCATTTTTTTAATTTATTAATCATCACATCTCTTTGAATTCAATGGATGGTTGCCTCTCTACCTTCACGAATCACCACTCGAACATTGTTAGAACTATTTGCATGCTCTCTAATTCTTATGATATTTTTATAATTAATCTCAAGTTATTCACACACTAGTTGCCAAATATAAGAACACTATATAATAACAAGAAAGTAAATTAATACAATTTAATTATTAAAATTTTTAGAATGGTCGAGAAGTTTCCCATGCTTTTACAGATATAAACAAATCACAAGACTCACGACCTAAGCTCTGATACCATACCACAACTTATAACACTCTATTCATACTTTCATCCACATCTCATATAAATGACTAGAATAACCGTCACCTTTTCATTTGCCAATGCTATCAAATATTACATATTGGAAAAATGAGCAAATTTGAATATCCTAACTTTTTCAATAAAATAATAGGGTTTTTTCTATACAAATCGGTGTTTGACACCTCTATATAAAATTTTAAATAGATACTCTCAAATATCACACATGCATTTTCTACTTAAACTCATGTACATACAATTGTGCTCATAGGTTATTGTTTGTATCTACTTTGGCAGGCATGGGTCTATAGCTGCTCACCTTCTTACCTATCATATAAAGGTGATAACTCATTAATTAAAAACTTTCAATTTAATATATAAAGGTGAATTTACTGTAATGTAGGAATAAGGCCAAACATGCCTAAGATGCGAGTCGAGAAAACCCAACCTGTATGAAGATAAATCCTTTACAACGAAGGCACAAGGCCAAATGCATAGGAGACATGTGAATCAGGGAAACCTAACCCGTATAAAGAGATATCTGTTATGGCGAAGGCATAAAGCCAAATGTGCTCGAGATGCATGAGTTAGGAAAAATAGATCTATGTGAAGAGAAATCTACTACGGTGGAGATGCAAGGCCAAATGCGCCCAAGACCTATGAGTCGGGAAAACCCAACCCACGTTAGATAAATCTGCAACAATAAAGGCAAAGGTCAAATGCGTCCGAGATGAGTAAGTTAAGAAAATCCAACTGACACTAAGATAAATCCACTACGATGGAGACGTAAAGCCAAATACACCCGAGATGCATAAGTCCGGGAAACCCAACCCGCACCAAATGAAATCCACCATGATAGAGACGTAAGGACAAATGCACTCGAGATGTGTGAGTCGGGAAAACCCGACCCACGGTAAGATAAATCCGCTACGATAGAGGCATAAGGCCAAATGCACCCGAGATACATAAGTCTGGAAAATCCAACATGCGCTAAGATAAATCCATTATAGTGAAAACACAAGGCCAAATGCATCCAAGACACATGAGTTAGGAAAGCCCGACCTGCGCTAAGATAAATCTACTACGACGGAAGTAAAGACCAAATGCGCCCGAGACATGTGAGTAAAAAAAAACTTGACCCTTGCTAAGATAAATGCGAAAGCATAATACCAAATGCACCCGAGGCATGTAAGTCACAAAAACCCAACCTACGTGAAGAGAAATCCACTATAATGTAGGTGCAAAGACAAATGTGCTCAAGACACATGAGTTAGGAAAATCTAACCAATACCAAGATAAATCACCTACGAAGGAGGTGCAAGGCCAAATGCACCCGAGAGGCATAAGTCAAGAAACCTTGGCCTATGTAACATAAAATCGTTATGGTAGAGGTATAAGGCCAAAGGCGCCCGAGATGTATAAGTAAAGAAAACCGTGTGAAGAGAAATCCACTATAACGGAGGCGCAAAGCCAAATGTGGTTGATACGCATGAGTCGGAAAATTTTGACCTACTTTAAGATAAATCCGCTACAACGGAGGCATAAGGCCGAATGTGCTCAAAAGGCATGAGTTGAGAAAACTCGTCTCACGTCAAGATAAATTCACTACGATGGAAGTACAAGAACAAATACGCTCGAGATATATAAGTTAAAAAAACTTAACTCGTAACAAGATAAATCTACTTCGACGAAGGCATAGGACCAAATGCGCCCAAGAGGCATAAATCGAAAAATCCTGACCTACGCCAAGATAAATCAGCTATGGTAGAGACACAAGGTCAAATGTACCCAAGACATGTGATTCAGGAAAACTGAACCTACGTCAAGATAAATCTATTACAATGGAGGCATTAGGCCAAATGCGCTCGAGACATGTAACTTAGAAAAGCTCAACTCATGTAAAGAGAAATTTGCTATGACAGAGGCACAAAAATAAATGCGCCCAAGACACGTGAGCCAGGAAAGCCAAACATACGCTGAGATAAATCTGCCACGGCAGAGTCATAAGGCCAAATATGCTTGAGACGCATGAGTTAGGAAAACCCGACCTACACCAAGATAAATCCTTTATAATATAGGTGTAAGAACAAATGCGCCTGAGACATATGAGTCAAGAAAGCTTGTCACATGCCAAGATAAATCCACTATAGTATAGCATAAGGACAAATGTACCCCAAATGCGTAAGTTTGGAAAACCCAACTCTTGCCAAGATAAATATGCTATGATGGAGATATAAGGCCAAATATGCCTGAGATGATTAAGTTGGGAAAATCTGACTCGCGTAAAGAGAAATCTACTATGTTGGAAGTGCAAAGTCAAATGTGCTCGATATGCATGAGTTGGGAAAACCCATCCCGCACTAAGATAAATCCACTATAATGGAAGCGCAAGGCCAAATACATTCGAGACATGTGAGTCGAGAAAACCCATCCCATCCCCAGATAAATCCACTATGATAGAGGCATAAGGACAAATACGCCCGAGACGCGTAAGTCGGGAAAACCCAACCTGCAACTGGATAAGTCCATTATAGCGAAAATGCAAGGCCAAATGCGCCCAAGAGACATGAGTCAAAAAAACCTAACCCGGGCCAAGATAAATCTTCTACGGTGAAGGCACAAGGCCAAATGCACTTGAGACATGTGAGTCGGGAAAACTGAACCCACACTAAGATAAATCTACTACATGGAGGCACTAAGCCAAATGCGTCTAAGACGCATAAGTTAGGAAAGCCCAACTCATGTAAAGAGAAATTTGCTACGATAGAGATGCAAAGCCAAATGCGCCCGAGACATATGAATCAATAAACCCAACTCGCGCTAAGATAAATCTGCTACAATGGAAGCACAAGCCCAAATGCACCCAAGATGTGTAAGTCAAGAAAACTCGACCCATGCCAAGGTAAATCTACTACAGTGGAGGCATAAGACCAAATGTGCCTAAGATGTATAAGTAAGGAAAACTCAACTCACATGAAGAAAAATATGCTACAGAGACACAAAGCCAAATGCGCTCGAGATGCATAAGTCGGAAAAACCTGTGCCAAGATAAACCTGCTACGATGAAGGCACAAGGCCAACTACACCTAAGACATATAAGTTAGGAAAACTCGTCTCCCACTAAGATAAATCTAATACGATGAAACCACAAGGACAAATGTGCCCGAGATGAGTAAGTTAGGAAAACTCAACCTGCACTAAGATAAATCCACTACAACAAATGTGCAAGGCCAAATGCACCTGAGACACGTAAGTCTGGAAAACCTAACATGTATAAAGAGAAATCTAATATGGCGAAGGCGTAAAGCTAAATACGCCCGAGATGCATGAGTCAATTAACTCACGCTAAAAATAAATTCACTATGATAGAGGCATAAGGCCAAATTCATCTAAGACGTATGAGTCAAGAAAACTCAACCCGTGCTAAGATAAATCCACTACAATAAAGGCATAAGGCCAAATACACCCCAAATGCATGATTTAGGAAAACTCGACCCACACCTAGATAAATCTATTATGGCGGAGACATAAAACCAAATTCGTTTGAAATCCATGAGTCGAGAAAACTTGACCTGCACCATAATAAATCCATTATGGCAAAGCCGTAAGGCCAGATGCACCTGAAATACATGAGTCGAGAAAACCAAACTGATGCCAAGAGAAATCCGCTATAGTAGAAACATAAGCCCAATGTGCTCGAAACACCTGAATTGGGAAAACCCAACTCACAAGACGAGATCTCGAATGTTCCCATGTTAAACAAACTATATGACATGCTTCGAACCCCTCTTGCAAGAGCCCCGAAGCACTCCTTCGGAGGGGGGACAAATGATAGGGAATTTACTATCATTTGACATGTGATTACCATGTAAGATCCAAGTTACCCTCCACCCATCTGCCTACATGGCGAAAATTCAAAGTAAGAAAACATAAGTTGTCTTCTCGTCCATTATGATAAGAAAGAATCACAAATTTCATACTTATCTATTATGACAAAGAAAATAATCACAAACTTTCTTTTCATCCTTTATGATAATAAAGATAATTACAAGCCTCCTTCTCATCCATTATAACGATGAATGCATCTTAAACCAAAGGGACTCCTTTTAAACTATTCAAACCTATATTTTAGGATCTTAGATTACTAATTTGAGCGTCGAAAGGATCGGGTCAGGAAACCCCTAACCTCGATCTTTGTGCAAGTGACATATCGGAAGCACGACATTTCTATCTCAGGAGCACAATATTTTCACCTCGAGAAAATGATATTTCTACCTCAGGAGCACGATATCCTTATTTTGGGGACAATGGATATTTCTGCACATATAGGTATAAATTACATCAAGTTGTTCAGAACATCAATAATATTTTTCCCTAATAACACAATGCAAACACCACTGCATGGCTCCTTTTCCCACATAGTAAGTAATGTAACTTAAATACGATCTCTTACTTACCTACATGCAGCTTGTCATGCGATTACGTATTTCCATGTTGTTTTGAGGATAAGCTAATTGTTCGACGTGATTGATAAGTTCACTGTTCACTCCCTCCTCCCTATAAAATGGCCTTCGTCATTCCTCATTCCCCAAGCACTCAGGCCCGCTGCGAGCCACTTTGGAGGGTCTCCTTCTCAAGGAGATTTCACTTCCTTTTAGTGCTCGCCATATACTAGAGAGATGGCAGCTGGGTTATCCTTGGACCGTCCTTGGGCGTTCACCTTTGGCATCCTAGGTAAAATCTCTCTTTCCCTATTTGTATGGAGCTCAATGGTGATTACTGCTGTCTTCATGGTTGGATCTCTCTCTAATGATGATGCAAAATGGTGCAGTTTTATGAAGTGGAATCATATTATATTATAAAGCAAATCAAAGCATAGCCATCATATTATATTAATCCTCAAGTTTTTGTTGTGTCAATACTGCTTTTGGTTTGATGAGATCACTAACACAGCATTGGCTTTGATCGAAAGGTAACATCATCTCCTTCATGGTGTACCTGGCGCCACTGTGAGCATCTTCTTCCTCCCTTCTTCTTTTTCCATTCAACCTTGTTTATGCCAGGCATTAATTGTAGTGATCTTACTGGTCTCAATCAACGCCAATGCAGGCCGACATTCTATCGCGTGTACAAGAGGAAGTCCACCGAAGGGTTTCAGTCGGTGCCGTACGTGGTTGCTCTCTTCAGTGCCATGCTATGGATCTCCTACGCGTTCCTCAAGACCGACGCTTGCCTGCTCATCACCATCAACTCAGTCGGCTGCGCCATCGAGACCGTCTACATCGTCTACGCGCCGAAGGCGACAAAGGTACACAGAGCGTAGGAGAGAGAATTTGTTGAGGCCGGCAATTAACACGATCCATCTCTTGTCTCTATGTTGCAGATCTTTACTGCGAAGCTGGTTCTGCTCGTCATCGTCGCCATGTTCGGGTTGATTCTTCTGCTGACTCTGCTGCTGTCGGAGGGCGCGAAACGAGTTGAAATTCTCGGATGGATCTGCGTGAGCTTCTCCGTCAGCGTCTTCGTGGCTCCCCTAAGCGTCATTGTGAGTTCGACATGCGCCAATGCAATGCCTCGGTAAGCAGTTAGTGTGGCAAACTAACGCACTCCGTGTTTGCTCAGAGGCTCGTCATACGGACAAAGAGCGTGGAGTTCATGCCGTTCTCGCTCTCCTTCTTCCTCACGTTGAGCGCGGTCGTCTGGTTCGCGTACGGCTTATTGATCAGGGATTTATACGTTTCGGTAATTTCATCAAACACCTACATTTAGCTGCTTCGATCGCACTGTAGCACCAGATCACTCTATCTTCTTCCCCGTCTTCCTGTTCCATAGCTGCCCAATGTGCTGGGGTTTATCTTCGGGATCCTGCAAATGGCGCTCTACGTAGCATACAAGGACAGGAAGAAGGCCGCCGTCGTCGAGCAGGAGCCGCCGGAGCACGTCCTACCGATCACAAATCGTGACACGGCCCAGAAGGCCGTGGAGGTCCATCGGACGGTCGAAACTCATGGCGAAGACAAGGTGGGAGACGGAGATCAGAAGGAGATTGATGAGAACAAGGAAGTAATGGCTTCTGTTGAGGTCTGATAGCAGTCAAGTGGCATGCCCATTGGTTGATTAGGTTCATGCCGTGCCTCCAGACTCTTAAGAAGGTTGTGTATGTTGTCAGTGATGTGTAAGTTGTGACGGTAACTCTGGTCTTTGCAGTCAGTATAAGTAATGGTAGCTTCTTGTAGTTATATGTATGCATGAAGAAATCAAAACTGTTCCTCTATCATGATCCTTTTTATTAGACTTGTGGGATGAGGTGGCGATTAAATTTTGACACTGCCATCATCTCCAAGAATAATCTTATTTTAGCTTACAACAACAATGTTCAAATTTGGACATATCACAACCAGCATATATACACTGATGCACACATGCCTAAAGATGACTTTTATTTTAAAGATGATGTTAGATCTCAGTCTTGTAAGAGACTACTATATATGTAACATATCCACAGGGAGAAACACCATATTGGGCCGGGTCGAATTATGGGTGGCAAATTGGATCCATTAAATAGGTAATATGGATCCGGGTCAACAAAAGATATCGGATGCTCGGTTGAATTATGGGTGAAGACGAAATTTGATCGATCTTGATATCCGTATATGTTGCTGTTCTGGATATATGGAATTGAACGATGTTATTTATATATCTCAGATCAAATATTCCTGACAACAAAACCAATGAAAAATGGTTTTTTTTTTCAAAGTAGTCCTCCATGTCTTTTGAGATGTGAAATTATGGTAACCAATCCAAGGAAAAGATTGATTTTGGCGATGCATTATGCCATATATATAACATATGTTTGTGAAATCCAAACATACACAATGATGAAAAATATGTGAGGAACCCATAAAGAGGGAGAGAGAGGAAGGTGATTAGATCCCAGCAGAATTTTTCTCTAAATTAAAATAAAAAGAGAGATTTCCATATAAATTAAAAAATGTGAGGGGCTAAAACAGGAAAAAAAACACTAGTGCTGGAATCGATGTGCCACACGTTCTCGTGGAGATGCGTGCCTTTGGATCCGGAGTGCGCCGGCCCGTTGGTGTAGGTGGCACATCAAGACACGCGGCGGATTTTCATTGGTCCCGACACCGACAACGATGTCCCCCCATGCCACCTTCCTTCGCACGAACGTGGGAGTTGGTGGTCTGGTCGTTGATGACGTTCTCTCTCTCTCTCTCTCTCTCTCTCTCTCCCGCAAACTGAAGATTTCGACCACATTCCTCCTCGCTCTTCTTCAAAGAAGGAATATCGTGCTCTTGATTTCAATGGAGCAGCATTTTCCCAACATATCGTATGATTTCAATGCTCTCGATCACGAGGAAGCTCGTGTTCTTTCAGTAACTCAAAACTCACTGTGCCCCAGAGTCATAAGCTTGAAATTAAAAGGTAGGAAGAAGAAGTTTAAATAGCAGTTCATTTTGACTCATCAAGCAAAAGTGCAGGACAGATCCATGATATAAATTAACTAGAGAGATGACAAGCACTGCATTTGGATGAACTCGTAGAAGGAAACAATCCATTTGGCCAGTTTTTGCTCAACACTCAAGAAGTTTCTATACATATGATCATCATCACTATCATGCATGTCAAACCCCACATGATCACGAAAACCCAGAAGAAAAAGGAAGAAAATTATAGAAGAAGGTAATACAAGCAAAGCCTTTGCATATCAATCATCTTGTACCCAAAATGGAGGACCCAAAAAACCAACCTCCCTTCCCTCTCTCTCGCACAAACACACACACACGCATTCTCTCTCTCTTTCTCTCTCACTCTCTCTCTTTTAAACCTTGTTAAGTAACCAATATTAGATAGAAAACGAAGTCATATTAAATGAAAAAGTTGGTAATCTGTAGCTGCATTATAAGAGGAAGACGCGAACCGATCATACCGTTCGTGGTTTTGAGGCTGTGGGTTCAGAGCCAGAGAGCGCCGGCATCCTTGAGGAGGGGCACGAGGGTGCCGTTGATGTGGGCGGCCATGACCCGGTCCATGGCCCCCACAAGCTTCCCGCCGATGAACACCACAGGCACGGCGGCGCTTCCTGCCACTGCCGCTCCTCCGCCACCAAGGATCCGAGCGAGGGCGCGCTCCATCTCCCCGCCGCGCGGGTCCTCGTCCAGCTCCACCACCATGGGGCTCACCCCCATGCCGCAGAAGAGCCGCTTCACTGCGTGGCACATGCAGCAGGTGCTGACGCTGAAGATGACGACCGCGCTCTCCCCCGCCAGCCGCTCCACCCGCTCCAGCGCGTCCATCGTCGCCCCTCTCGCCGCAGCCACGTATCCCCACGCCTCAGCCGCTGCCGACGCCGCTTGGTAATGCATCCTTCTGTGAAGATTCTAAACAAGATGAGCTCAAAGGAGAGATGGAATGACTGAAGCCTGCGCCGGATTATTTATAGAAGGCAGGAGGTACATTCTGGGAACAAAAAAACAAAGTTGGCGAAGGGTATAGTGGGAAGTTTGTGAAAACAACTGTCATTTAAAAGGAAACTGCGGCTATATTTATATCTTCTCCAACTTTCATATATTATGCTCATATGGATTATGTTTTGGATGTTCCTCATACACTAAATTATGAAGGGAATGATATTATTATCACTATGAATTACCCAATAAATAGTGCTGGTCTAATTATAACTGAATGAAAAATGAAGGAAAATTATCAGATATTATTATTGATAGAAATAAATGAATTAAAACCATGATAGATCCATATAATGTACTATAACAGCTTGTTTTCTCTTCCTCTTCCTTCCTGCTTTATCTATTGAATATGAGTTGGGTTTGTCTAAGGTCAACGGTCAAACTGGCCCCACCGAGAAGACCCGCAACGAGAAGGAAAGCCGGAGGGTGGATGATGCGTCAGCACGTGGGAGGCAGGGAATGATGGTGTCGGCGAGGAACGCGGCACGTGGGAACAGGGCCAGGGCAGCCCGCCGCGAATTTTAAAGCAACCGGACGTATAGATTTTGGTGACGAAAGGGGGAGAGAGAGAGAGAGAAGAGAGAGAGAGAGCGCGCGGGAGCCAAAAAGCTAGCCTCTGCGTGCGCACGTTTACCGTGGCCAACCTCATGCTGCTAAAGAAACCTTCTTCTTCTTCTCCCCTTCTTTGTGATTACTCACTCTGATACGTAACACATCTACATAGATCTGAAGCTTGTGTTGGGGGGATTCTGATCCCTAAGAAACTGCTCCCAGTGGATGCAGTGATGGTGGGTGATGCAGAAGAGAGCAGCAGCCGAGGAGCCTCACGAGGACCAAGAAAAGAAGAACACAAGGAGCAGCCTACTACGCACGAGAATAAAGCAAAGATATGGAAACACATGCAGCTTCCACAGTGCTTTTTTCGCACGGCACTCTACCGAGAGAGATAAATACCGCAGACGTGTATGCTTTCACGTAAACACATACGTAAACAGTATCATTCTGCCAAGTTATGCCATGGCAAAAGAGGACTAATCAAGCAAGGCGAGATGAAGACACAGCTGATGGTAGACACAGCTTTTGATGACCCGTCGAGAGATCAAGACAAGCTCATAGATTATGTCAAAATCTGAGTGACAGCATCAACTTTTGCTGAAGCTGAATGATGCTAGATGGGCGGGAATGGAGGAAGGGGGAGAGCAAAGTTGGGAGTGTGTCAGAAGCCTCTGTCTCTTGGTCTCCTGATGTCAGGAGATGGCATGCAAATGGCAAAGCCACCATTAGCTGTTACCACTGTAAGCTTTGAGTGTCACCATTAACAATCCAAAAAAGCATGAGATGGTACGTTGCTTTCGCTTAAGAAATGAAGACGCAGAGAGCGGAGATGACGGCTTCTGCTACGAGGCTTACGCGATGCCGCTGCACCGCTGACCTCCACTATTGCCTCTCTTTCTTCTCCTTTCTCTCCTTCCCAAGCTATTTCTGTTTGGCTGGTGCTGTGGCCACCGTGGTGGCGAGGCAACGACGTCTCCAACTTTCCACCTGTATGCATGTCGGCACCATTCATCCAAGCTTTCGAGATACCATCCGGAATGGTGACACCACCAGCTTTGCACACTCGCACAGTCCTGTGCTCTAAGGTTCAAAAACATCCTATATATATATATATATATGTGTGTGTGTGATATTATAATAGTTATCAAAATCGAATGAATGGCTCAACTGATCGAATCGTATTTAATTATTAAAAAAATTATATTAGTATTATAATTTTTTAAAACTAAAAGGAAATAATATTTATTTTACAAATAAATATTACCATGAAACTTTAGCCAAAAGGAAGGATAATGGTTATAGGAAGCGGAGAATGTTGAAAATATTCGTATGTGTATGTATAAGATGAAGAGAGATCCTTTTGCATCACTAAGGATGATTTTACAAGTTTAAATCCTTGGATTAAATCGTGATCTCGGTGATCAAATCGAAGGGTGAAGAACTGGCTACTGGGTGGGCCAAGACGAGCTGTGGTGTGGATCCCAGTCCATCATACTGTCACTTGTGGTCTCGTGGAATTGAGGCAGGTGGTTGCAGAAGCACTCATTTGATAACCCTCTGTGCACGGCATGCAGATTTGGATTAATTGGTGAAGCGAGACAGGGAATGGAGCCTCAACCTGCACAAGCTATGAGCTAAAGATGTATCAACAATGGCTTTGGTTGACTGAACAGTGCTCCTCCTGGATATCATCATGGAGTAAGAGGAGATAGAAGCTTCAAGCTTGACATCGACTAGGTATTACCTACATCCTTTTTAGTAGGGGAGATATAGGGACGTAATTTTATGTTTGTATATCCAAATATCAAATGAGCAATATTATTGTGATCTCATATCTCATCCATACTTATTATCCAAATAATATACATAGTAAATCATGACTACTATTTTTTTAAAAAAAAATTAAATCTTAGCAAAACTAAAAACTAATCAAGATTAACATACATGAGACTAGATATCAATGCGACTCAAAAATATTAGATGATTCTTTAGTTTATACTTATTTTCATTTCATATAAATGAATATTTTTAATTCTTTCTCTTTCTGGTGTGGGCTGATTCCTCAAAAAAAACAAAAAAAAAAGGTTGGAGAAATAGCTGATTTATTTTTTATCATCAAATAATTATTAATTTCTGTGATTTTGATCTGGTTTTGAAAGGAGATAACGCGATAACAAGTTTATTCATTACTAATATAATGCCCAAAGCATTAAGAGAATTTTTGTTACCCAAATCGCGTTTCTCCTCTATCACAATTATGTACTCCTTTTTTTGCCTAATGTTGTGCTAATAGGATGGTAACTATAACATTGATTTAGGGGCATGTTTGAGCTTATATGGTGAGCTAGATTAACCCAAACCGACTATGCTATTTATAATAGAGTTGAATCATAACATCCAAAAACCCTTTGACAAAGAGTTTTGATTGGGTGACTAATAATTTTACAAGTTTAAGCTATTAGCAAAGAATACATTACAGTGTCATAGTAGGTTGTGACCTCAAATCTTATAATTGATACCCTCAAATTCAAAAACCTTAGTCATTTAATAAATTCTAACCATATAGAATTTTTTGATTCTATTAGGAAAGGACTCAATTTATATATTGCACTCCAAAATATTCACTAGTCGCAACCGAATAAAGACAAAAAACAACGAGGAATAATCTTCAATTGAATCATCAAAGCATAATCCCTTTTTTGTTCATTTGGAAAAAAAGATTTCAGCTTGATTTCTTGCAATTATTTTCTCAAGTAGGAATGTCTGAAAGTGCATAAAAAATGTCTGATAAAATGCTTTAAAAAATTATTAAGATGGCTAGGGATATTTGTTTTGGAATTCTAATCCTTCTAAAATCAAGACCTGCCTTGTTAGCTGGGACAGCACTTGGGAGGCCTTGACATTAAAGACATCCTTGTTTTATTCAGATTCTCTTAAACATGTCTTCTTAGAATATTCTTTTGCTAGTAAATATTAAGAATTGGTTCAAATTAAACAAATTTCTTTTAGATTCTTAGATACTTGGATGGAAGAACAATGGTTGGAGGAAGGAGAGAGTTTGATGCTTTGAAAATTACAAGTTTTATTGCTAACTCCATCTAGTTTGTTTGTTTGGCTTAATAGGAATAGTTCCGTGTATCACAATCATCAGGACAAAGTCATCTTCTATCTGGTGTAAGGCTTTAGCTTTTACCATTGATTATGAGAATGATCGAATACACACTATAAGGGAATTAGAGAGAATCAAAGGGGTTTGCAGGAACATATGATAAGTACGATGGATGTAGTATTATTATATTGTGATGAGTCATTACATACTCTTTCTAATCTTGCATGTATGAGTTTTCCCACGAGTGACTCAGGAGGAAACATTGTGGTTGTAGGATGTGCTGCATAAAATTAAAGATGTCAAATAAACTAAATGTCTTGCTACATCATTGAAGGGTTAAAGTTGGCGAAACTTCAACAGTTTAATCACGTCAGTATCCTCATATATAATGCTCAATGATAATATTTATATACCTTGGCATTTCAAATCTTTGGCCACTATAAATATCACAACCCTTGGCATCAATCCTAGGCAAAGCTATAACGTCTACACTATCTTTCCTCTTGATATTGGACGAATTGGAAGAGTCTTTCCTCTTGATGGCACCATCCTTTGCAGGTTTGATCCGATCTTTAACATCCACTCAAGTCTGCTTTCACTAGCTTTTGTCACCATTATGGTGGTAAAAGTCAAGTCTGATGATACCTCCTGTAGGTCCTAATAAGCTAGGATTGAAGATGGACTTTGTTGAAGAACCTATGCATAGCACAAAAGTCATATAGCAATTTGTTATTTTGAGGTTGAAAACTTGAGATATAAGCAATCAAACATGGAGGAGCTGTTCTTGGATTCTAACTTTCTCACTATCTAAGATTACGAGCATTAAAGGAAAAGAAAAAGAGATGATGAGTATAGTTTCGTTACGGATAGAATTAATAGTCAATCACAATTCATTCAATACATAGAATCCCATCAAATCATTAATGACCAATTAATGCTTGACACATTTAATCCAATGGACCATACCTAGTTATCATAATGATGATGTCTAAGTTTACTAAGTCAACTAATCACCTAATCGTGCCCAATTAACTTGACATTCGTTATTGATTTAAGTATCGAAAAAACCTCGTTAAGCATGTTAATATTAATCATAATTATCTTCTTTTTTTTCATACATTCATCCCGACACAATTTTGTAGAATTCAATGACTCAAGAAAGTTCACTATCAAATTAAACAAAACCAGATTTTTGGAAAGAAAACTAACAAAATTGATTTGGAAAATTAAAAAAGTTTAAATAAAGAATCCAAAAACTAGTCGGATGTTTTTTTAAAACTATTTCTCATCCTTTTGCGAATCATAATTAAAGAAATTCAACCCAAGATTCTTTTACTATGCATATAAATATGGAGGGGATAGCATAATCTATTTCATCATTTTAAATAGAAAAAAAACAAGCGGAGAAAAAATTGATGAAAAATAAATAAATAAAAAATTGAAAGAAAGAAGAGAAAGAGGAATGAGAAAATTTTATTATTATTATTATTATTTTTTGACCTTAGAATTTAATTAATTAATTAATTACTAGTTAGAACAAGGAATCATTGCACTCGATTGTTACGACCGATCCCACCAACCATCTGAATGTGTTCCACTCAATTGTATCTAAATTCTCGTGGAACACACACACTCTATGAGACTTGTGTGTCCGGAGGAGAAATTTTAGGTAGACTTGCAAGAGAAGTTAGCATTTCACTGTCCCACTCATATTGTCCTTTCCTCCTCCAAAACATGAAAACAAAAGTTCTCCAAATCCATTTGTTGGTTCTCTTCTTCATCCATGCGCTCCATAAGATGTTTAAGTTTTGGTTTCTTGTCCATTTCAATTCATCAAAATAATATCTTGATAAAGACATTCGAAATCCTATAGTCCCAAGTCCAACAACCTTCATGAAATCACACTCCACGGTAGAACCAAAGGGTTTGGTCTTACATGGGTAGCCCATATGATACTCCAAAGTTATAATTAATTATTTCTTATTATATATTTTACGCATCTATAGTCATCGTTATTTATCCTTACATAATTTTCACTCCAAGCATAGAGTATAGTATTTTTATGAATCATCCAAAATTGCAAATACATAACTTGTTTTATTACCTAAATGAATTTATTTGAATTTAAAACTGTTTTCTATTGTTTAATATTTATTTATAGGATTTCAAGCCCTCTAAAAAGGAGATTCTGAATCCCTTATTTCTATGATAATTCCCATTCTAGTAGTATTCACATTCAACAAATCAAAATTAATTTTCACTAAGCATTTGATTATCTGTAAAGAGGACTCTCTGTAGATCTTTCTACAGTAAATTAAAGAATATACCAAAATTTAGTGGTCTACAAAAAACCTTAATATAATATTTCCGTATGTTTTGATTTTATTGATTGAACATTGGATTTGAATAGTGACAGTCTTTTGGGCAAAAAAAAAAGATAAAATTTCTGTTTTGCCACGCTTCCGCGTTGTCGTCTTCTCTGGTCAAAGTGGAGCAGCCGCCGAAACGACTCCGTTCCTTCTCCCTCTTCCCTTCTTCTTCTTCTTCTTCCGAAGCATGCCTCGCTCTCGAAGCCCGAACCCTAGCAATTTCATATAACCTCTTCAAATCGTCGCAGGATCTCGCGATTGCCCCCTTCTCCCGCACGATTTCCGCATAAAGGTGATATTTTTGCCCTCCTCTCTCTTCCTTCGGGCGGAATTTTAGCTATTTTATTCTCCCTTTCTCTTCTATCTTGGCCTTTGAATCCTTTGCTGGATCGAGAGGCGATTCAGGGCACTGATTTTGTGTTCTTTGGTTGGGTCTTGTCAGATAGCAAATGCCAGAAGAGGATCTGCTTGAGCTTAGGTTTCGGCTCTATGATGGATCGGACATCGGTCCCATCCGGTATTCTGCGTCTTCCACCATTGCCATGCTCAAAGAGAGGATTGTGTCGGAGTGGCCACGAGGTAGGGTTTTTGTGTTTCCTGTTCTTGGGGGTTTATAGATCTGTTCAAGACGTTCATTTGTTTTCCTTTCCAGTGCATCCTGTGTGTGTTTCTTGAAGTGATGAATACTTTCCTTTCCAGTCCTTGCGAGTTGTGTTGATCTTGTGGTACTCTTGAAGGAGGGTGCTCCAAATTTAGTTCGTTTGTCGTGTATGCTTCATGCCAATCAAGAGTATTCGGATATCATGTGCATTTGACCCGTGAAGGTCTTTTTTCTTTGCCCTCCATGTGTCGTATCATATTCAGATCATGTGCTAAGAATTCAGAGAGGCACTTGCCATCAGTGATTCAATGCTGTCCCTTCTTAGGAGGCTGTCTCCTTTCTCTTTCTTCATGCTCTTGACAATTATGTCAGCTCCATTTTAAATGGATGCTTAAAGAGAGTTAGATGGCTTTTAGTGTTTTACTAGTCAATTTTTGCACAATTTTCCAGGATCAGATATTCTTACTTTTGTTATAGTATACGTTGCAAATTTGTTGCTAGTGTTGGTTGAGAAGCCTTCTGTTTTCCTGAAGTAGGTATTGCTTACTAGCGTGAATGCGAATTCATTTTATTGTCCCGAATTGGGATCTTTCTGAATTTAGTTATATTTTGTAACTTTTTTTTTTTGTCGTAGAACTTATGTATGACTTGCAATTTGTTCTCGGACATTGCACTATGTATGAGAACGTTCAGCAGCAATTCTGGTTCAGATGGATTTTACAACGCATGGACATTATGTATACACACTTTATATGCCTGTTTAGGAGTGTATCCCATGCATAGTAAAGTACAAATCTCCTGCTGTTTACTAGGAAAGGTTGCATATCTTTTTCCTAGAATTGGTGTATTTCTTCAGCTTATTATGGCAAATTATATATCTTGCAGTAAGGTAATTTTGAGTTCATCATGATTCAGCTGTTCCAGAACTTCTCATTTTACCTAGGTAGTTGATAAAATTTAAATACTACATGTAAGTAATGATGATGGCATGCTGTTGAATTGGATAAATGTTTAATATTAATTTAATTTTTGGACGCAAGTTTTCTATCATGATGTGCTTGCAGAGAAAATATTCAGTAAAAAGTGTTATTTAAGTTGGATAAATGATTGATAATGTTTGCTTGTTGAACTCAGGCAAGTTTTTGTTCATGGTTAGCTTGCACAGAAGTTATACCTGTAAAAGAGTGATAACTTTTCCGTGTAGTTTATGTTTCTAATACAGGTAATGATATTGGGCTATGGTAATTTATGCTAAAAAGATGGAGTTACTTTGATTGTAATTCAAATGTGCATTATGATACTTAGGAACTGAATTGGGCTATTGTAATGTTTATGTGAAAAACATGAACGTACCTTGTTTGAAATTCAAATGTGCATTAGGATACTTAGGACCTTGATTTGCTGAACATTGTGCTTCTAACATTGTAAGAATGCCACCGTACAAAGTCTCCATACAAGAGTTGGCATTCTCAAATTTTGGAACTCTTAAAACCATGTGAGAAGTATGGCATTTTCTAACCTAGTGTGATGCTTATGAAGTCCTTTTTATTTTCAGTTCTTGTTTTTTATTTCTTTTCCCTTTCTTTTACTTTTCTTTTTTGTCTATTTTTTCCCTCTCTCTCTAAAGAGGAGGGGGAGGACTGGAGGATTAAGTTTAGACTTCATTTCTAGATATTGTGAATTAGGTGTTGTTACTTCCATGGTGTTCTATATAGAACCATAGATAACCATGTGAGTCTTTAAGATCCGTTAACTTATTTTTTCTTCAGTTTGCATCATATTTTTCATGTTATTGATCACTTGCCACAAGAAAGATATCATGGCAATGAAACAATGATAAATGATATAGGTAGGATTGTATGTGGCATGTTCTCCAGTTGTAGGAAGAATAGATGGAGCAGGATTATCAAGTTTTCACAAACTTGGGATTTACTGTAAGATCAATCATATTCCTTGAGGCCAGCTAAGTGGCAGATTGAATTGCAAGTTTGATTGATAGATTGAAAGTGAAATAACTCTATTTCAGGATTTTTTGCTCTTTTTGACCTCCAATGCCTCTGGAGTCTATTTTCACTGCTTTAATCAATGAATGTATTCTTTAAGAACAAAAAGTTGTACAGTCAAACTTCTCAGTATATCAACTACATAGTCTGAATTAAGATCACTTGGGTCGTGATAATTTCTATGAAAAGGGACAAGCACGTTGTTTATGACAAATGTGGTATTGGTATTGGGAATTAATACATCTGGCGCTTTAAAGCAGATAAATTGCGGATGATGATTTAGTTTCATGTGGCATTCAAGAGCATATTCTGGTTATCTATCATTTACATCCTCTTTCTGTCAAATACATTCACCTTGTTTATCATCAATATCTCCATGTTAACCTGTTAGTTTGTTGCATTCTTGGTTGTTCCATCTACTGTTGAGCTTGGGTTTCTCATTTCCATATACTCTCCTCATTTTAGATAAGCAGATTATACCAAAAATCGCTAATGATGTCAAATTGATAAGTGCGGGGAAAATCTTGGAGAACAGCAGAACAATCTCTCAGTGCAAGCCAACTTTTGGTGAGCTCCCTGGAGGTATTATCACCATGCATGTTGTTGTGCAGCCATCATCAGCTAAGTCTAAAACAGGTAATGTGAATCTCATTTATATTTTGTTTTTTCTTGTTTATATCACTTTGGAACTATATATTCTTTTTTAGAATTACTTCTGGATCAAACTTTGTAAAATTCGAATTTGGTAAATCCTAGTGTGAGGGTCGATTCACATCTCATTTTCTCAAGATGTGTTATCAAGTGCTAGTAATTTGTATTGAAAAATTCACCTGTTCTCTTAAATTAATATGATATGAAGTGATCTTAGGTCTTCTAACTAGGTGCCCAGCTTAGCGAGTAAATATCAACCAGTGAAGTTATTTAAAAGTTGGGAAGAATGTAAATGTTAATTTTAGGATACTGTATGTACAGAAGATTACTAGTATGATAATTATAAATTCTGTGCATTAATGGTAGCCATGTGTATTTTGCAAAAATAAGTACAAGAAATGTGGAAAGCAATCACACCACCTGTACAGAACATGCTTGCTCTTGAACAAAACTAAGGTTTCGAAGTTACCTTGAAATGCAAATTTCTGAATTGGATTGGCCTACAATAAAACTGTCATGTCCTATGTATCTTATTGCTTACTGCAAATAAGCTACTGTAGAAGGGTGGGCCAAGAATCTATTTCCTGTAGATGCCATAGAATGTGGTTGGCAATTAACTGATATCTGACACAAGCTTGATTTGCTAAATGATTTCAGTTGTTTCAGATCTGCAAAGGCAGGAATTGCCAAATTAAAAATAATGTTTCGAGATATTAAATTTAAGTCACCGATGTACATATATTTTCATTTCAGTTAGCCTAGGATGGGATATGGTGGTGGTCTTCTTCATATTATTGCCTTGGTCTGAAGAGATTAGCTGTCTCAAGAAGGCAACCATGTGAGACAAAAGAAGGAATTTTCTTTTTCTCAGATGAGAGAAAACATAGCTTTAATGTGGGACTATCCACCAAGGATTTAAATATCAGTTTGATATTGGTTTAAAGAGTCTATTGGAATAGTATGGTACCAATATAACGACCCTCCTATCTAATGTACAACAACAACAAAATCATAAGTCCCAACTATTTGGGATTGGTTACATGAATCTTTTGTCGTCATTGAGATATATAAAGCCTCTTGTCTTATGTCATTAAATAAAATATTATAAAAGGAAATTGATATGTGCTGTTATTGAGTTATATGTTCCAATGCTGATATTCAAACCTAAATGCTTTGCTATCCACAACACCTAGTCTTATTACTTCAAGAAAATTTGCTAATGTTTCATGGATTGTATGAAATGCATGATTTGGATCTCCCACAGAGATGGAAGCCTTAGATATAGAGGGAACGTTTCAAATATGTTTCCTCAGGATTCAAATTTAATTGTTTCCTTAATGGATGACAATTATGTTTAAGCACATTCAGTCCTTTTCATGTTTTCCCTGAATCTAAAACCTACATAATCAAATTGTTGACTAGTCTTGGAATTAGCTTTTTATTATATTGGGTATGATAAAGATTTCATTTTTTTCTACATACTTGGTTCACGTGTTGAATGTGATCAGCACATTCATCGCTTTAGATATCATCTCATTAAATATTTAACATTATGTGGTTTATGGCTGCCTGAAAATAGAAGATCATTGCTATTTTTTTACTTGACAGAGAAGAAAGTTGATGAGTTGCCAAAGAAGGCAGCCTGTTACTGTTCGATATTGTAGAGCAATGAATCTCTTCTATGGTACGTAGTTAGCAGCAATAGAATCATATCCAGCTTTTCATTTAGCGGAAGAGAAGGATGGCACAAAACTCATGGCATGTGTTCTTTTCTTGAAGGAAGGTTCCAATCCTTGCCTCGCTCCGTCGAAGTTGTTATAACATGCTAATCATCTGTGAAAGAAGAGAGGGTCTTAATGTCTGATATGTATGTATGAAGTAAATTGTCTAGTTTCATTGTGTTTAGGCTACAGTTTTTCCTTGTAACAAAAGTATTCGTTGTATTGATCGAACTCATTGCATATGGAAGTTAAAGAGTCTCGGAGGGTGCCCTGTTGTCTCCCACATTGTTCTTGAACACGGATTTTAAACTGGAAGTAAATGCTGATGCAGCTTTTGTTGACATGGAAGCAGCATAAAGAAAGAAATATTTTCTCGTGGTCTAATCTCTGGTCCGATGATATGGCGTTAAAGTTGGATTATGATAGTGATATGATAATTATTCATGGCCAACCAAGATTACCTATGTGTAGCGCACTCAGCAGATAAAGTCTTTTACATAGGCATGGCATCAAAACGAAATATGTCCATATTAAAGTACTTAGAATTACTTAATAGTCGACGATTGTTGCAGAAAGAATTTTATATATGGAGAAGAAATGAAATACGTCCTTATTAGAATTACTTAATTCTTTATAATCGACAGAACGAATGTTATACAAAGGGGGTTTCTCCAGATATGTTCGAAGATCAAATTCTTAGAACTTACACTGAACTCCTGAATGTTGAGTTGAACATTAAGAGGTACTGATGGATACGCACAGCCCAACGGAGATTTGCTTTGGCACTTGTGCTTGCATTGAAGACGAAGACGAAGACGTGCACTTCCTCCCTATGCAATCTCACCCTACACGATTTGCTTCGCAGCAGATCTGCTTCACCTCGCTGAGCTTGATCTTCTAATCTGCCTCTTCCATTGACCCTCCTTTACTGTTCTGCCTTATTCTACTCGGCAGACAACAAACACTTTACGGCGACGATACTGATTTGTGGTGGACAACTACTGCTCTACTCCGGCAACCGTCTTTGATATGCCTCTATAATACTTGATATCAACCATCCGTGCTTGACCTTACGTTTGTGCACGATAACAGTCTTCTCTCTCGACGATACAGTGTGACATCCAACCACGTTCGACATCCATACTGTCTTCCTTTATCTCTAACTCTCCGATGATTAAATCTTTAAGAAACAAAAATTTTTCTCAACCTACAAGACTCATATATGTCAATGTAGCAATTCTAATCATGTGGCAATTATGTATTTAACGATCATAATTTATTAACCTTCTATTTGTATATGATTTATTTGACTCTATCAATGATTTAAATATTTAAATATCAAAAAATCTAATTTTAACAATAAAGTCACCATAAATTATGATTACATTAAGATCATCTTATTTTATAAACTTTTTAAGCCTTAGTTATTGGTTTTATAGTGCCACTAATCATTCGTGTAGTGCTATAATAGAAACATAATCCAAGTTACAAAACACTTTCACCAATAGCTCTCACGATGTTAAGTCTTCTAATCTACCTTAGTGATATAATCAAGAGGAAAGTACTATTATTGACTATATATAAAATATGAAAATTATTATAAATAACTTTACTTTGACAAGTCATTCTCTGACTGATGAATAAATCAACGTTCATATTTTCAATAACCTAAGAGATGAATATAAGGAATTGACGACTGTAATTCGAGCGTGAGTCACCAACATCATTCGAAGAATGATATGATAAATTGTTCAATCATAAAACATATTTAAAAAAAAAAAAAGACGAGTAGTAATTATAGCTCAACTTAACTAAAAATACAAAGGGAAGGGCAACTCCAAATAGTAAGAACTTTAACAAAGGGTCAAATAAGTTATCTCCTAGACATATTGGAAATCACTTCAACTCATACAATTAATACAACTACCAAAAGTCCTAGCAGTCTAACAACATATGAATCAGCAAATAATCATTTGCTAACTTTGTGACAAAGTGGGACATACAATAAAAGTCATTGGTCGACTAATGCCTAATACAACACCTGATTTACCTCAAGTAAACATCATGATTAGTTCATCTATTCATCTAAGTGATTGGATTTGTCGACTGACTCTGGAGCTTCACATCATATTACCTCTGACCTACAGAATTTATTGATTAATTTTGACTATGATAGCAATAAAGACGTGGTGATAGTAATGATATTCCTATCACTTATACTGGTTTTATGATACTTAATTCACATATAATAACTTTTAAACTTGATGTTTTATGTGCACCAAAAAAACTTATTTTTATCTCTTAATTCTTCAAATAAAATAATATTTATATTAGATTTTTTCTTGACTTATTTCTTGTAAAGGATCCAAACATGAGGGCATTCTTATTTCGATGTCGGAATAAAAACACCTTTGAGTGACCACCACTAATGTCTTCATGAGTTACCCAACCAATCGCTATTATCTTCGTTGCTATGCCATTTAATGTATACCATCATTGCCTTGGCCCTTCATCGTCTTCCATTCAAGAACAAATAATTTTTTATTACGCTATTCTAGTTTTCAAATAAAGATGTTGGTCAATGTGACTCATTCCTTGGTAACAAAAGTCATAGATTATCTTTAAAAAACACTTCTATATCTTGTCTATGCTACTTGAAATTATTTACATTGATATTTGGAGTCTTGCCCTAATCTTTTCTTTTGATAATTTTAGTTTCTATATGTTATTGTTGTGGACTACTTCACCAAAACAGATGGTTCAATTCATTCAAACATAAATCCAAAGTTACCTTAGTTTTTGTTTATTAAAAAAAAAGTTAAAAATTTCTTCCGGTTCACCATTAAGATAGTCTATTCTAATGAAGGTGATGAATACCAAGCCTTAATAACTTACCTGTCAACTTATGACATACAATATCTGAAGTTACCACCATAGATACTCTAACTTGTTAGCTCTATTGAAAACACTAATACATAGTTGAAACCACTATTACTCTTCTTTACCAAGCCTTCATACTACAATCCTTTTAGTCAATAGCCTTTTAGAATAATATCTACCTCAAAAATTATATGCCCACTTCAAACCTACAACTTAAATCACCTTTCAAATGTCAATTTCACAAACTCTCAAACCTTCACAAATTAAAAATATTTAGTTATTTATATTATGCCTAGTTTTGGCCATACAACTCTCTTAAATTAAAAATAGGATCTAAATAATATATCTTCATTAGGTACTCAATTGAACATAATGTCTTTTGATAATTTAATCCTCAAACTCATAATGTCTTTATATCATGCCATGTTATATTCATTGAATCTAACTTTTCTTATACAACATTGATCCTTCGATGATAAAAGCTATCATCATATCCATCTATCATTTGACTCATATGGACACATGCCAAACTCCTTCGATCATCTCTTGTTATCTCACCTAGCTCAACTAATAGCTTTGCTCCATATCCTCATCCTTTGTTCCTATTTAACATCTTCTCACCTCACTAGATTACTCTATACTACCAACCAATGCTACGTCCTCAATACCACTTGATATGTTTTTGTCTCCTCTTCGATCAAATGATGTTGTTATGTATCAACTTGATTAGGTACATATCATTGATTCATCACTAACTTTCATATCATTACTAGAATCCAGTCATCTCACCCGACTTTAATATCATATAACAACATATTTCAAAAATAATATCTCCAAACTACATTATATTTTTTATCTTCATACCACCATAAGCTCTCGACTTGAGCCCACAAAACTCACAAATATCACTCAAGCTCAAAAATCCCTCCTAAAATTGTGTGAGGAATATGATGTTTTGCATAATAATGTCGTTGGACCTTTGTACCATCCAATCCCACAAAATATTATTGGATATTATAAAATCTTTTGAATTAATTTGAAGCAAGATGGATCCACTACTAGATATAAAGCAGGCTAGCTAAAGGGTTTCACTTAGCTATCATGAAGGCTAGTATTTATGATAATTGGATGTTAATAATACTTTCTTGTATGTGACTTCGACTAATGATATATTTATGTAATAACCTTGTTTATCCTTAACATCCTAACTATATATGTAAACTTAAAAAAACTATATATGTCAGGCTCCAAGAGCGTGATACAATAAACTTAGCTTATACATGATATCAATCGACTTTGTCAACTATAAATCTAATAATTTTTTATTTTTATTCCTACGATAATAAAAAGGATATACTATCTACTTACTAGTATATGTAGATGATATCATCACCACAAGCAACTACTCCATTGAGATTAAATAATTTCTTAAGCAACTAGTAGATCGATTCTTTGTTAAAGATATCGGATTATTGAATTACTTTTTTTGGTGTAGAAGTCATATTCATATCTATTGACTTTTTTTTTTCTCAAAAGAAGTATATTTAAGATCTCATATTATAAACAAATATGTAAAATAGCAAAGAGATTGCTACCCTACTTTTCTCTATTGAGTCACTCAAACTATATGATGATAGTTCTACTATGGATTCAACATAGTATCAACAAACACTTAGCTTTCTATAATACTTATCTCTCACTCATCTAAATATTTTATTTATTATTAATAAATTATCATAATTCATACGTCAACCCTCCACCAGTTATTTGTCTATAATGAAGTGCATCGTATAATATCTTAAAGGGATCTTTAATCATGGTTCTACCTTTGTTGATGTTGATTAGGCGGCAATGTCGATGATAGAACATACAAATTGTATTCCTTAGTGCAAATTCTATTAGTTGGAGCTGGTAGTCATAGGTGTCCTACAAGCCAATTACGTGAATGATGGCACATGTGACACAACGCACATTCTTTTTGCTTATTATTATTTATTGGTAGTTTCTTACTTTATCTTATGTATTGCATATATTGTGATGTCCATGGATCTATGCAATGAAAATCAGATCGTGATGAGATCAAATAATCTCGGTCGTAGGTCACTCGAGAGAGACAACGAGATAATCGAAAATACTAGTATGTTGTATACCCGTCAATATGATGGAGGTGGTTAGTCTCATAGCTGCTTATGTGGGGGACACCAAGGATATAGTGCAGGTACTCATTGGAGAATGAGTTCACTGATTGATCTACTCATGGAATGTTGAATGATTGATGATACCTCATTGTTAGACAACGATTTCATCGTCCCAGTTGTGTATTTGATCCTTAGACTTGAGACACCAAGGATGTCTTGTATGAGCACTACACTGTTTGATACCAAACTTATATGTTTTGAAGTTCTAGATCTAGTACAACTGATCATCGGGAGTGACAGTCAATCTTACGAGGGCAATTGAGTGTCGATGGAGGATCATTGGTTCTTGATATCATAAGAGAAATATCTTATATATTTTTGCTCAAGCAAATCCCTAGCCAGGGTCATTTGGTTTGAGAGAAAAAGAGTTCTTTGGGAGAATCTGATTGGAGCAAAACTCGAATAGAAACCGTATGAGCCAAGTAGTACCATGCTCAATATATGGTCTCTGAGATTTAGATAGAAGAGGAATCATAAATACATAGTAATTAAGGACAGACAAGTCCAATGAATTAGATTCATTTGTATCGTCTAGGGACTACGGCGTAGTGGCATAGTACATCCGTAGTTGATGAGTCGAGTGAATTATTATGAAGATGACAATTAACTGATCAGAAGGAGTTCTGACATGTATGACTCATAGCTAGCTTGATATTGGGCATAGAGAACTACACACATATGGCAGGTGTTGTGACGATTAGAGGTTCAGATATAAGATATTCGTTGGTGCCAATGTCTTATTGGATATTCAGTAAACTCCTAAATTATTAGATCTTATGAATAAGATCTAATAAGAGACAATGAGAGATTATTGGGTAGAGATCCACTAATCTAAGAGGCTTGGGTAGTTGGATGGAGATCTAGTACCCAATAGGGTAGGATTCATTAGGGTTAAGTTGATAGGGACCTCTATAAATATAAGGGAACCAAAGGAGAGCATAAGCTAGACCTTTTTGGCTGCCACCTCATATACTCCTCTCTCCCTCTCCTCCTTAGCCAACAACCTTAGTTTAGGGCACGTGGATAGCAAGAAGGGCGACCCTTCTTGATTGTATGGTGCACGTAGAAAGAAGGATTGTGCAGTAATTTGAGGAGCATCTTCGCAACCCCTACTATAAAGATCACCAATAGAGAGGAGAACAGTTAACCTCCTTCATCCTCTCTTATAGATTTATAGATTTTCAAGGATATACGAACTCCCTATATGTAACATATCTTTTACATACACGTAGTTTTTAATTTTACGGGTTTTTATGCACTAGTCTTCTCACGATGACAAGAAACTTTTTATGCGAGAAATTCTTAGATTTTATTTTTCTATTCTTCCGATGCGCATATGATGTCGCCTTAAATTTCCCAATATGAGCTCTCAGAAATAAGAAATAAATGCATATTTTACCGTGGAAGTCAAGTATCATGTTGTTGCTACCAATGTTGTAGAACTCAACTAGGTCACTAACTTCACGAACTTGATGTCAATCCTTACTTTGGTCTAATAATTTATTATGATAATATTGGTGCTACCTACTCATGCTCCAATCCAGTATTCCATTCTTATATAAAGCACATTGCTATCGACTTTTATTTCATTAGAAATCAAGTTATTAGGTGTTAGCTACCTATATCTCACATTCATACATTTGATAAATTAGTAGATTCTCTCACAAAGTCACTTGTTTACGAGGCATTCTACTCATATCACTCTAAGATTGATATCCATGACAAAAACTCAATCTTATGAGGGGCATAATAGAAAATCGACTATAAATCAAATATTAAATAATTACTAAGATATAATATTAATATTTATAAGGATATTTAGTCTCACATTGATTGAGGAGTAGGGGAACCAATGACTTATAAGCCCACCAGGTCACCTTTACCCTTAGATATGCTTTTTGAGGCTCACAAGCTCCGAAAGGGCAAAACCATATAGATATATTCAAAGGGAACAATTTCTTACGAGTCAATGAGGTCGTACGAATGATAACCAAATATTGACTTATCAGAAGGAAGGTCATAAGCTCTTAGCTTATGAACTGCAATTAAGCATTTCTCAATCTATATAAATGATTGAGAAACCAAGGATTTATAACTCCATCGAATCAAACCAAGGATTGGAGTTTACGAGTTTCGAAAGGATAAAATGTCTAAAGCGGATAATTTCTCACAAGCTTATGCAGCCACACCAATGACGACCAAATGTTAACTTATCAAATAAATATAATTATGATATATCAATCATCTCACAACACAAGCATAATCATGTGCATGATTAAAAGGTAATCAAGCACATTCTGTTCGAAGAACGTGATACTCCTCTCTCAACTTTCACCAATATAACTGCAATTAAGCATTTCTCAATCTATATAAATGATTGAGAAACCAAGGATTTATAACTCCATCGAATCAAACCAAGGATTGGAGTTTACGAGTTTCGAAAGGATAAAATGTCTAAAGCAGATAATTTCTCACAAGCTTATGCAGCCACATCAATGATGACCAAATGTTAACTTATCAAATAAATATAATTATGATATATCAATCATCTCACAACACAAGCATAATCATGTGCATGATTAAAAGGTAATCAAGCACATTCTGTTCGGTGATACTCCTCTCTCAACTTTCACCAATATAACTAAGATCCAAGGGTTTTAATCTTCCTATTTGTGGGAGAATCCAAGTCAATTCTATATCCACACCATCGATGATTCTTTCGTGACCATAAATTTTCACTTTCACGGGAAAACTCAACTCAAATTACCATAAGCGTTGAGGTTTAGACTGATAGGTGCATGCATTTGATTAGTATGATGGAGTTATTATTCATATATTAGAAATTAGATGGTTGGAATGGAGAGGAGTGTTGGATTAACAAAAAAAAAAAAAAATCTACAAATCATTATTAGACTAACTATGCTTTATGAATTGAGTGTTAAATAATTTAGATATAATATAAAAAAATTACATCCTTAAAATGAGAATCTTAAGGTAGACGTGTAGAGTTTTAGGAAAGATAATAAATATATATATATATATATATATATTGTGAATAATATTCAAGTATGACTCACCACATTGGTCAAGTTGGGTCAAGAAAATTGGTACCCAACCTAAAAAGAAGAAAAGAAATCTTGATGCTTGTTCAATTCAATTGAGATAAAAAAAAATTAAATCAACTTGATGCATTTATCATAGACATAAGCATAAAAATAATTGATGCACTTTAAAAGGACAAAGCATTTTGGTAAAATATTTTTTTATGCTTGATACATCCATTTATTTTGGACAAAGATAAAAGCATCATCATCTAAGCATATATTTTTTTATATGAATAATAATTGTTAAGTTTTAAATTAGGGCATTATGCTATGGCATTGGACGAGCACTTCCAAATCTCATTTCATTCCAAAATGAACCTTTTTGTAATTCCAAACATGATAAGATCTAGAAAAATGAATATCAACTTTCAGCTCGTATCAATTTTATTATCTTAAGTTAAAACAGTTACTAACAAGCTTAGACACTTCCCTTTTGTGCTCTTTTTGATATGACAAGATGCTATCATCCTGTTATAATAATTAAAAGATTTAGATGATATATATTAGAATTTGTTGATATGTATTTTAACTAAGTTTATGATGTAGTTCCTCCACTCTCTCTCTCTCTCTCTCTCTCTCCAAAACATGAATCCAAAGATCAGATCCAATTAGATGCCAAAACGGGTAGGATCGGCATGCTAAGTCCGAGCGCAAGTCGTCACCAAAGTCCGAGTTCAAAGCAACCTCTGCTTGTCGTTCCAGAGGAATCTGGAACTTTTCCCAGCCTATCTCGGATTCCGAACCTACTTGATATATCCAAACCCCTATATATATCAACGCTGCCCACCAACGAAGCCTGGGTCGCACTTTTCTCAGAGCCCGCCACTTCACCGTGAGAGATAGTGAGATCCTCCTTCTCAGAAGACCCATCGAGCACCGCCGGCCGCCGAGTGCAGCCTCGTCGCCCCCGGGCTTCGACGTTTTCACCGAGAGAGAGATGGACAGGCCCTTCTTCTTCCCAGAAGGCCAATGGAACACCGCCGGCCGCCGCCGCCGAGAGCAACCCGGTCACCACGGTGCTTCGACGTTTTCACCGGGAGAGAGAGATATAGACATAGACAGTCCCTTCTTATTCTCAGAAGACCCTTGGATCACCGCCGGTCTCCGCCGAGATCAACCCGGTCACCCCAGTGCTTCGACGTTTTCACCGGGAGAGAGAGACATAGACATGGACAGTCCCTTCTTCTTCTCAGAAGACCCTTGGATCACCGCCGGCCGCCGCCGAGGGCAACC